ATAAGAGAGGGGGTTTGGGGACTGCATTGCAAGTCTGGTCCCCTCACTCTTCGTGTTGGCATTGAAGAGGCTCCATCCTCTGAGCCATCTGGGAAGGACCTGCCCCTTTGCCCATCACCTTGACGAGGCCAGAGGCCAGAGGAAGCTTCCTTCCAAACCACAGCGGAAGTGGGAGGCCCTGCTTTCTGTCCAAGTTTACCTTTGGGGAAGTGGCTCTCACTGTGGTGTGGTCACTGGGCGGTCTGCGGGCTGGGCTCCTGTCACCTGTGGGTCAGGATGCTGGAGATGGAGGCTTCTTCCCAGGGCTGCTGCTCTCTTGGGGGCTCACAGGAAGGACAGAGTATGCCTGGCAAAAGGCTTGAGAAGTCGCTCATTTGGACTGGTTTATTCTAGAGCATTGCCTCACTTCTCTATTTTTCGAGATTTCACTAAATGATTGCAACAAAAGGGATTTTCTTATCTAGTGACAAACCCCATGACAAGATTCTGGCTGTCTAGACAAAGGGGAGTTTCAGCAGTTTGGCTAGGAGTTTCCTGGGCACCGGGGAGAAAAAGGGGCCAAAGAGAATCCAGGGTCAGTCGGCGGCACTTCCTCCTTGTACTGAGCAGTCCGGCGACGTGTGAGCTGGAAAATGAGCAGCATTAGCCTTCACAGCAAAACCATCCTTTGGACAGGACATCTCTAGCTCTGGCCAGTCATGCCAGAAATACACCAGACCAGTGGTCGGCAAACTGCGGCTCGAAGCCACATGTGGCACTTCCGCTCCTTGAGTGTGGCTCTTCCACAAAATACCGGCTCTTCCACAAAATACTGACTTCTGCGCATGGGCCACAAAGTTTCAATTGCACTGTACGTGGGCGCCCGCATGTGGTATTTTGTGGAAGAGCCACACTCAAGGGGCCAAAGAGCTGTATGTGGCTCGTGAGCCGTGGTTTGCCGACCATGAGTCCAGAGGGCTGGGAATGGATCACTGTAGTCCCTGCAGCCTCCAGCAGGTGGCCTTTCACACGGTAGGTATTAGAGGCAAATCGCTCAACTGAGTTTATGGGGCATTTGCTCTACTGCAAGTGAGATGCTTTTCACATTTTTTGGGGAAAATGAATATATATTAAGTATTTATTTATATATTTTAAGTATTTATTTATTTAAACAAATTTTCAGCTTTATTGAGGTATAATTGACAAAACTGTAAGCTGTTTAAAGTGTATGACATGATTTGATAGACCCACACATGGTGAAAGGATTCCCCCAATCGAGTTAACACGTCCAACACCTCACATATTTACTTTTGTTTTGTGAGAATTTACATTTATTCTTAAAACAATTTAAAAAATTAATCTCAGAGAGAGGAAGGGAGAGAGAGAAACATTGATGTATTGTTCCACTTTTTTATGCAGCCTTGGTTGACTCTTGTATGTGCGCTGACTGGGGACTGAACGCACAACCCTGGCGTATCAGGGGGACGCTCTAACCAACTGAGCAACCCACCCAGGGCCACATTTATTCTTACCTAGACTACAACCACAGTTCTGAGAGGTGAATGCTATCCATTCCCATTTTATGGGGAAAGGCACAGAAATTCAATGAACTCCCAAAAGCTGGTTAGGAAGAGATGTCTGGCTTTGGTCTGAGAGAAACTCGAAGCACCCCACAATATTATTTTGCGTGGAGGTCGATTGTCTGCACAGTCAGGACACAGAAGTAGCATCAAGCGTACAACACTGTCCCTGGTCAGGTCTGCAGTTTTTTGTTTTTTTTTAATTGATTTTTTACAGAGAGGAAGGGAGAGGGATAGAGAGTTAGAAACATTGATGAGAGAGAAACATCGATTAGCTGCCTCCCGCACACCCCCCACTGGGGATGTGCCCGCAACCGAGGTACATGCCCTTGACTGGAATCGAACCCAGGACCCTTGAGTCTGCAGGCCGACGCTCTATCCACTGAGCCAAACAGGTCAGGGCTGGTCTGCAGTTTTATTAGGAAAGTCTTGTGACTGCTGACATAGAACATCTGCCTGCTGTCTGCTACCCAGTGAACAGTTAACAAAGCAGTAAATTAAACTCTCAGTGGATAACACAGCCCAATTTAGCTGGAGTTTAAATAGAGCGAGAGTGAACTACACTGGCAAACTTGATGCCCGATGAAGCTGATGTGAAGTGGCAGCTCCCTACCACACCCTGCCTCTTACCAGTCGCTGGGGTTGCAGAAGTCGTCTGTACAAGCCATTCAGTCATTCATGAGAAAAACCTATCTTTCCCCACAGACCTAGAGCTTAGAAGCAAAGTCACATTTTCCATAAATCCAAGGAGCGTGACCTTCCCAGGCTGACAGCAACCAGTAAGGTGCAGCTTTTGTCCTACTGCCCTCCGCGCACGTGGCCTGGGGGTCTGCCTGAGTTGTTTTCAGTTCTCTTCTGAATTTTGAGCTTAAACACCAGAGGACTGTGTGCTGTGGGTTCTTACTGAGGTGGCCAAGAATTCTGAGATGCTACACTTAAGGGCAAAGACCCTGTTCTCTAAAATGCCAGTTCAAGCCGAAACCGGTTTGGCTCAGTGGATAGAGCGTCGGCTTGCGGACTGAAAGGTCCCAGGTTTGATTCCGGTCAAGGGCATGTACCTGGGTTGCGGGCACATCCCCAGTGGGGGATGTGCAGGAGGCAGCTGATCGATGTTTCTCTCTCATCGATGTTTCTAACTCTCTATCTCTCTCCCTTCCTCTCTGTAAAAAATCAATAAAATATATTTAAAAAAAAATAAAAAAATAAAATGCCAGATCAATGCTTGTTCCTTTTTTCCTAGTGACCTTGGCTCCTAGGTGGCAGGGAGCAAATCTCGTCCATCTTTGCACCAGCATGTCACTCTGGGGATGTCGGAGAGTAGTGCTTTCGAATCTTCCCTTTAAAAAGCCAGAAACGCAACCACAAAGCTTGCTGGCCACACCACGCTGAAGGCGCCTGGTGTGCAAAGCTAAAGGCCAGAGTGCTCATTAGGGTCATTCTCAGTGAGTCAGACATTCTTCGCTGCCTGCCTCACGACACAAGCAGCCTTGGTTTCCTCACTGCTACAACGTAAAAAGTCGCCTCTGGATTTTCCTAAGAGTGAAAACAGGGTCTATCCGACATGAAACAGCAGGGAAGATGATGAAATAAGTATGGTGCATCTATACCACAGAGCACTTAGCCGGCGGTTAGAAAGGCTAAGGTAGAAAATACATTCTATACACACACATCCATCACTGGATGAACAAAATGTGACACATACATACCATGGGATATTATTCAGCCTTAAAAGGGAAAGTGTCCATGTAAGTATGTCCAAACCTGTAGAGAATTAAAAAAAAAAAATTGAGTCAAACAGAAGAAGCACCTGGAAAGAAGACCTCAGCGGACAGATAAAGGCTTCGGAGAATAACAGTTTGCAGTTTCTTCTCTGCATCTGATTAAGGAGCATGTAAGATCACTCAAAGGTGGGAAAGAGCAAGATGGGCATCGATTCCAGGAGCGTTCAGACTGTGTTCTTCCGAGGGTGGCCACCCTTTCGAAGAAGGGGTTTGAAAGGGGGCATTTCGAAGGTGTATTCACAGGGTGCACAGGAACATGGTCAGGGCCTGCTTAAGGCAAAGTTACATGCCCGGGGCGATCAGCCCTGTTAGGAATAAATGATCAGATCGCCCTGTGAGGTTACTCTCCATAGAGCCCCCTCTCGTCCAGAGGGAATTCTGACACATGCTACAACATGAACGAACCTTGAGAACGTTATGCTAACGAAAATGTGTCACAAAAAGACAATTACTGTACGACTGCAGTTGTGTGAGGTAAGTCAGAAACAGAAAGTAGAAAGTAGAAGATGGTTGCCAGGAGCTGGGGGATGGGAATGGGGAGTTATTGTTTAATAGGGACAGTTTCAGTTTTGGGCGGTGGTGATGGTTGCACAATAATGTAAGTGTACTTCACACCACGGAACCATACACTTAAAATGGCTAAGATGGTAAATTTTGTTTTACAATAAAAAAAAAGGAAAAATAGAAAGCTGCTAACAGATTGTATTGTACTGTTTTTGACGAGAAGTTTATGTATGCCACACGTGTACTGACATAAAGATCTGGAAGGAAATTAATATATTAACTGTCAATAGGGGATGCGGGACTTGGGCAGTTGGGGGGAAGGGGGGGCTTCCACTTTTTACTTGACCTATTTGTGCACTGTTTTCAATGAGTGTTACTACTCTTGCAGTGTCAGAATCCCAGCAGCAACTGTGGGAATGCATGCTTGCCATGAGAGGTCCCTTGAGGCCATTTATGGGACTAACACAGTGATCTGGGTCACTGCTCCAGGCTGGAGGAATCTCAAACCTTGCCTCAATGAGATAAAAAAGACTCACCAAGCCCAGCCAGTGTTGCTCAGTGGTTGAGCATTGACCTATAAACCAGGAGGTCACCCGTTCAATTCCCGGTCAGGGCACATGCTCTATCCCCAGTGGCGGGGGTGGGGTGGGGTGGGGGTGGGGCCGGGTGGCGCATGTGGGAGGCAGTCGATTGATGTTTCTCAGCTATCCCTCTCCCTTTCTCTCTCTCAAATCCATAAAAACATATTAAAAAAAAAAAAGACCAAGATTTGGTTTTAAATAATTCTAATACTGAAAGTAGATATTGGGACGCTGTATAATAAGCTAACATTTACTGAGCACTCAGTAAGTGCTAGGAGGGTGAGGTAGACACAAGTGACTCCCATTTTACAGATGGGTACATGGAGTAGCAAAGAGAAGGAACTTGCCCAAGGCTGTCCAGCTGGTGAATGGCAAAGCTGGGAGGAGCCCCAGGTCCTGCATGACACCAGCTTCATGCTTGGACCACTGTACCCCCCCCACCCCCAGAGGCTCCTCCTCCTGGCACCTTCACATTCCTCTGCACCCCCCCCACCCCCAGAGGCTCCTCCTCCTGGCACCTTCACATTCGAGTAAAAGGAATAGGCTTGCTTTTTGGTTAATAAAGTAGAATAACATTTATTTTTTTCTTAAAACTTTATTTTACATGCTGTAATCATGGAAACTCAAATTAGATATAAATTATGTCCAGCTGAGCTGGTTACAGGTCATGGTTAGCATGAGAAGAGTTAAGCGGAAGCTTTCTTTTCCTTGTAGGTTGCCATCATTTTCTTGATTTCAGCAATAGCTTTCCCTGGATTCAGCCCCTTGAAAAAAGAGAAGAGAATCAATACCAAATGGTAGTGAAACTGAATGGAATAAGTGATGCCCTTGGGCGGAACCCTCCCCCAGCTGGTGCAGTGTCCAGGCAGTGAATGCAAACCAGGCCTCTAAAACCCAGAGGCCGGGCTAGGAACTCCCTCTGGTCTCTCCTTCCAGATGTTTAGAAGGCTACCCAGTTCTCTCTCTGGCAAGGGCCCTGTCTTGTTTTATTCCTGCTGGTGTGCCTCACTGTGGCAGGCAAAGGAGCCCAGGGCAGAACCATGTTCACTGAATGCTCAAAGACATCTAAGAAAGAACTTCTATGACTACAGCTGGGGTCACAATTAGCCAGACGTCTCTACAGGTTTTACACATTCCCATGATCTTTAACTCATCTTCAGAAACCAGCACATACAAGCTCCCAAAGCTGTGGAAGAGGCTCTGGTCCCTCCTGCTCCAATGACCGAGTTTGCTCTCTGCCGTCTGCCCTGGAGCAGAGGCCATCTGCCCCTGCAGCTCTGAGGCCGCCAGCCCGCATACCTTGGGACAGGTCTTGGTGCAGTTCATGATGGTGTGGCAGCGGTAGAGAGAGAAGGGGTCCTGCAGCTTGGCCAGGCGCTCCTCCGTGAACTCGTCTCTGGAGTCGATCATCCAGCGATAGGCCTGGGAACCGGGGGCTGATTAGCTGAGCTGTCAACCTACCGGGCCAGAGCAGCCTCTGGCTCACCTCACAGCTGCAGGAGCGCAGGACAGGGAACTCTCTCAGCGTTGCCGCCCTGTCTGCACACACTTAAATTCTTGCCACCTTTCACGGAAAGGCTCCCAACTCTTCCTGAACTCTTGACTAGTGATCCCCGAAAACCTGTAAACCACAGTGCACCTGGCACCCTGGGGCTTAAGTGTACGCGACCAGGCATCGTCTTCTAATTATTACGTTGCTCATTAGCTTCCTACCCAGATTATGAATTAGTGAAGGCAGGGGCTGTGTAAAATGACTCTTTATCTATATTCATAGCACCTACTCCCTGTCTCTGAGTAAACTGATGACTTCACAGCCCTGTCTAGAGATCATCTTTGCTTCACGTACTGATTCCTTTAATTAGTGTATGCCTCCCAGAAGCCTGAGACCAGCCAGCTGAAAACGGACTAACCTCCCCATCACCGGACCTGCTCTGCAGTTACTGGAGGACTTCTATGTCCCCAACAACTCAGGTCACCGGCTCAAGGGCCAACTATGAATGCACCTCGTTGTCAATCTCTACCATGGCTGGGAATCAACACTGCCACATGGTCGCACAACCACATAACTTCTCTTTTTGTGGGAAAATGAGAAATGTTAAGTTGTTTTGTGAGCTACTTAAGAGTCTGTGGAAAGCACGGACCATAAATCTAACGCATAAGCTTTCTGGGAACAAAGACAGTGACTTTCTTTGCAGTAAACTATTCATATCGTGAAAGGCAATACTACTTTCTCTTCTGAGCAACCCCTACAGCCGGTCCTCCAGGTGTCCCTTAGCCTGCAAACAATTTCCAACCTGAGAGCTGGCAGGCGCCCCTCAACGGCACTTCGCTCTCCCCTGCTCGCGTGTTAAAATCCCTGTGAGAGGGAGGTGGGAGCCATGACAGATGCATTCTGGGGAAAGCAGGCAAGTGGGTAGGTAAAAGCCAGCTGCACAGGAAACACATTTTAAATATCGGCAAGGCATGGTTTGCCCACCAGCATGTCACCACCCAGGGCGGGACCCTTGCCACACCAGAACAAAGGCATTTTGCAGAGGAAGCCCTAGGTTTACTGAAAGCCAAGTGAAGACAAAGCAATCTGTGACCTTGTTTGGAATGGATGCAAATCAAGGAAGCCATCGCCCCTCAGAATGTCTGATTTCCAACAACATATTGTGCACTTGGATTTCTGGATGCTTTTTTCAGCGTTTCTTAAAGCAATGGCGTAGCACCTCACCTGCATGAGCACCGCAGGTCCCAAGTATTTGTCTCCATTCCACCAGTAGCTGGGGCAGCTGGTGCTGCAGCAGGCACAGAGGATGCACTCGTACAGCCCATCCTGTGCGGAAGGAGGAAGCGTGGTCAGGAGCCCGGAACGGAAGAGCCCACGTGTCCTTAATTGACTAAAGGTGGTATTTGGGGTTAGAGCATGAACAAAGCATCCACTCGCATGGAAGTTTTCTTGGGAAAATCCTAAGAGTAGTTTGCAGAGATTTACCAGAGCCATTCGAAAGAGCTTGGATCTGAAATGTAATCATTTGCTGGATTACAACCCAGAGTTTAAGTCCAAGTACACTAAGATATGTGCCCTTGACCAGGAATCGAACCTGTGACCCTTCAAGGAGCAGACCATCTCTCTGCCAATTGATGTGTCTCTCTCACATTGATGTTTCTCCCTCTCTCTCCCCCCACCTCCTTTCTACTCTCTCTCTCAAAAAGAAAAAAAATTCAATGGGAAAAATATCCTCAGGTGAAGATTAACAAACAAAAATAAAAATAGACACTAACACCCCAACAAACAAACAAAACAAACAAAATGCATTACCTACAATACAGTGTAGGAGAAGCAGCTAGGGCCTGGTGCGGAGGCCTCTAGTAGTCTATACCAGCCTCTGCCTGCTCAGCACAGGAGAGAGACATCAGGTTTTCAATGGGAACCAACATCATCCTAAATAACAGCCAACTTGCACTGAGCACCTCATGCTCTACCGACTTCACCTTCTTTGATTATTACAATAATCCTATTGGATTCCCATTTTACAGGTAAGGAACTGAGGCTCCGAGAGGTCAGGCCTCTTGCCCAGGGTCACAGAGCTCAAGTAGCAGAGCTGGGATGGGACCCAGGCAGCCTGACTCTGGAAGCCCTGCTCCTTAACACCTGCCACACTGACTCACTGCCCAACCAGTTCTACACACCGGACTTCCAGATTCTGGGGACAGAAACTGACTAAAGGCAGCGGAACAGAAGGGCACGCCGCCATCTGAAGTAACTTGCACTGGGTTACCGCTTTTAGAAGACTCTCCCCTCTCCTTCTCCAGTCAAGCTTAGTAGGAACATAAGAGAACATACAGATCTCTTCTTCTCCTAAAGTTTTAGGCAAATACTCCTCAAGAGATTGAATAGTATAGTATAAGATTAGCTAAAACAAAGCAGATTCCAGTTCAGTCACCCAGCTCCTTGGTCAGATCTGTTCCTGACTCACATGACAGATGACAAAGAGCTGTTGGTCCTGATTGTAACCTTATGAGTCTTCAACAAAATCTATGTTCTGTTCAGGCAGCAGGTAAGAGTATAAACTGGCCCCACTGGTCTAGAAAGCATAAGGTAACAGGATTAGGAACCTTAATTACAGTCATATTCTTTAATCTACTTTAGAAAAAATTTTTAAGAAGTACTCTCATTGTTCAACAACAGTAGGAATGGTTAAAGAATACACAATGTGCCCTAGCTGGTTTGGCTCAGTGGATAGAGTGTTAGCCTGTGGACTGAAGGGTCCCGGGTTCGATTCCAGTCAGGGGCACATGCCCGGGTTGTGGGCTCGATCTCCAGTGTGCGATGTGCAGGAGGCAACCAATCAATGATTCTCTCTCATCATTGATGTTTCTATCTCTCTCTCCCTTTCTCTCTGAAATCAATAAAAATATTAAAAAGAAGAAAAAAGAATACACAATGTGCACACCCGAAGCAGTAGAAAGTCAAGCTCATGCTTGTGAAGAACTTCTAAGAATGTGGGAAGATGCTCAAATAAAGGAACAACGCGGACACAGAAGCATATTTACGTTTTGACCCCAGCTCCATAAAATCACGAAAAAAGTTATGTTTAGCATGTTAATTTAAGGAAGTGAAAAATGCTAAGTAAATGTTTGGTATTTAAATGCGCAAATTTTGATTATCCAGAAAACATGCTTCAATCCCTAATAACCCCACATCAAGGAGATGTTTACTAGCTACAAGCTACCCGAGCATGAGGGATGACTAGTTGGGCCAGAATGGCCAGTTCCAACCTGGACCCTGGGATGTATTCGACTCCATAGGAGTTAGAAGTGGGGGCTGTGCTGACTCACATCACCGTGCTGCCCCCATCGTCTCCATGTCAGAGCTGAATTCATCTATTCATTCACATAACTACTATGAATTGGTAAAACAACATGCGCCAGGGTCTTGGATCTAGGAGTAAGACACCGTCCCTACGATGGCTCAGTCTAACGGACAGGAATGTAAAGGACTCTCTTAGGATCAGCGCTCACTGGAGGAGCACACGAAGTGGTGACCATCAGAAGCACATGTCCTTGGCCCCACGTGGGATCCACCTCCATCCCAGGAGGGGAAAGTAGTACAGGAGGAGACTGAAAACTCGGTAATAACGCCTTCACTTTCAAAGACTCCCTAGCCTCACAGAGAACAGCACCTCCAAGAGAGTGTGATGGCAATCACCAGACGTGCGATGGTAGGAGAGAACACAGAGGTTCTAGGCCCAGTTTACCATTAACGATTTCCTTCCCACCTATAAACAGTGTTAAAGTGCAACTCTGACTTAGCCGTCAACTTTCACAGAAGGGGCAGTTCCCACACTGGTTTCTGTAGAAGACAAGCATCTGCAATAGGGTAACAATCTGCTCCTTGGTCTGCTCTGCCCTCTGGGTTCACACTACCCACCGGCCGGAGAGGATAGGTGTCCAACCCGTGGGCGGATGCTTCTGAAGTTCCTTCCAGAACACACTAAAAGGTCTGCATCACCTCATGCACTTACCCGCCCCGACCACTCCCACCCCCTCAAGACACACTTCCTGGAAAACATCTTTGCAATGAAATTCCTCAAATCAAGATCATAAATGGGGGAAATCACCAGTTTGTCTCGATCTTCTATGGACTGCAGGTACTGCTGCTTGCCTTCCTGGGATTCATCCTTCTTCTTCAAATAAGGCTCGATGGATTTGTACTGAGCATAGAAGTTGCTCAAATCCTGAGGGCAAGAGGGAGAAGGGTCAGGTTCTACCATCCCCGCAGCTTTCTCCTCACCCATTTCTCAGGCTACTTTCCTGCCCTATGATAGACTGAAGGCAGATCCTCCTGAGGCACAGGATATGGGCAGAGACTCAGAAGGGAGAAATGCTCACAATGTTGAGCGCTGTTAGCAAATCTCCTCTTCATCCCATCACCCTTGAAAATACCCTCAGCGAAGGTGGTCAAGTACAGGGAGGTAGAAATGAAAGTAAATTGTGTATCAACTGTTGCTTCCCAATTGGTATTTCCCACATGAATTCTTTGTAGTTATGGCCAAATTCTTCGTTTCTGGGACTGTTACAATTTTGTGCCCTGTTATTTCCAAAAAATCTTCACCAAATGAGCTGCTGGAAGATCTTCCAGGCCTGTTTATCTTTCAACAGTCAAATTGCTTAGTTAAACTCAGATAGGAAAAAACTGCCCGAAAGAACTAATAGCATAACCTGAACACACCTCTCCCCCAACCCTTGCAAAAAATATGGGGGGGGGGGGCAAGGAGGGATGCAGAAACTCACAGGAACCAGATCCTTTATCACATACATATGTGGAAGAGGGTAGATTTTTGAGACTTTGTTGAGGTTGGTGTCAATCCTCCGGGTGCAAGCTAGAGTGTTGCCTCCATTGATGTTCATTGCACAGGAGCCACAGATGCCTGAGAGACAAATACAGCCAACACGTCCTTACCCAGATTCCGGTCCAGTCACCCAGCTTCAAGTTCTTTCCTCTGGACTGTCGCCAGTTACTCTACCACCGGGAGCAGTACTGGCAGGCAGCACAGCTCTGGCAGAGGTGCCTGCGGCCTTTTCCCCTCCTTATCTAGAATGCAGATCTATAGGCTGTAGTTCCAAAAACATTTTGTGACCATGAGGCAACCTTGAGGGTGGGTGGCACTAGGACAGGAGCCTGGGATCCAGCTGGCACCACGGAGTTCCCAGCACCAGTCCTAGCTTCATGCTTCATGTATTTTGAGAGAAAAATCAGCCTGTATTTTTAAAAGCCACTGTCTCTGGCCATATGCTCCATCTCTGATCTCGGAAGCCACTGTTATTTGAACACAAACTCTAACAGCTACACTATCCCCAAACAAATCAACATTGTCTTGGTGATCATAAGGCTGAGGCCTGGCTACAGATTACCCAGAGGTAGCTCGTATTCTATTGTCTCTACAAGACAAGCAGCAGGGAGGATATGAAACCCACAAAAGCTGCCTGAGCACTGACTTTCCAAGGAGAAGAATAAACTAATGTGAAACCAAAGCAAAGCAAAGCAAGCAGAAACGAGGTGCTGACCAAGGGACCCTGAAATGAGAATTTTCTTAGCCCGGACTCACTTCCTGTGCATGGAAATTTCCGAGGTATTTCAGAGTTTAAAATTGGCTATGCAAATTCAACCCCTGGTACTGCTTCTCTGGAGCTGTATTTTGATCATCAGGCCAGAGAAATGGGATTACTCATGGAACTTGCACTGGGTAACCACTTAAAAAAACCCACTTTTGTGGGGGGGGTGTTACCACTTTTATAAGACTCTCCCCTCTCCTTCTCCAGTCAAGCTTAGTAGGAACATAAAGAACACACAAATCTCTTCTTCTTCTAAAGTTTTAGGCAAATAGTCCTCAAGAGAATGAATAGTATCGATATATTGATGCATACCTGGCACTCAACTGTGTTTCTATTTAAACACATAGCACTGTGTTTTAAAAGAAATGGTAAATAATTTTAAAAGTAAATCCAATGAATCTTCTCTTAAAAAGGGTCCCCTGGAATTTCTCTTAACAAGTAATAAGGGAGTAAAAAGGAGCGGCAATTAATTTCATCCTGCCTCGGATATTTTAGTCCAGATGGGCCACACCTGATGTTCTTGGCTCTGAATTTGGGGGAACAGGGGCAGGGAGGGAGACGGGGAGAGGGCGGGGAGAAGGTTACTGAAAAGCATCTCTATTTCCTGTGCTGCCAGGATTTATGTGGGGAAAGTTGGTGTTTAATTACAGCAGAATGTTCCCTGAACACGCCCGGAATCAGCCCAACTATCAAAATATCTGTCAGCATTTGCT